AGATTGTTGGGGGGCAAGAGGCTGACTCTGTAAACCGCTTAGAGAGGGCTGGAAAGCACTGGAAAGCGGTATATAAGTCTAAGCGTTAGTGCTACTGCTATATTTTTTTCAGGCCCTCCCTCGCTAGTATGTGCTTGAAATAGATGCTGTTTTTGGAAAAAGGAACATAATTGTGCATTTTTTTAAAAAAAACAGCAGATTGTGCTGAATTGTTTGCATGTCCCTGTGCGCTTTGAAATCCATGCATTTCTTGAGAGCATGCCAGATGGCAGGAACGAAGGCGCAGCCAACTTCTCTCTTTCGCAGACAAGTTAAATTAATTAACAGTAATCTCTTTCCAATGGATGCCAAGGTCCCATCAGCCACGGCTGCAGCATCGTGTCCAAGACCTAACAATGTTTGGGGTGTAAGGTGGGAAGGTATTTTTTCTTTCCTCCTCTTACCCCCCTGAGATGCCAATTGCAGTGTGTGGCTTTCAGATGCCCAGCTGAAGGAGACGGCCTCGTGACTAGCGGCAGCGGCAGCATCCGCTCTCAGAAATCCTTCGGTACTTGGCAGAAATACCGCCGCTGGTGCCAGTTTGCAGCAAAATAACCACGACGAAGAAGTGCTGCTAATTAAACCTCAAGGATGCTGCCAAGCCTCCCCAGTTGTTGCCATTCTGCAGTGCTGAAAAGTGGCTGGGTTTAGCGGATTGTGTGATGACCCAAAGGGGCGTGGCACAAAGGCCACACCATCAGGCAATCCGTAGTAATCCCTTTATTAGCTCCAACTTTGCCCCCAATGTCCAGGTTACCTTCTGGGCTGGAGAAAAACTCTCCCAGGAACAGCCTTTGGCTGCAGAGAATCCAGTCCAAAACGTGGTCAACAAAAACTGTAACTATAAGTCCAATCAAGGCAAGAGGAGGTAATTAATCCAGCAGGGCAGGAGCAGGAATTCGAGACATGAAGGAACGACAGTAATTCAACACGGTTGGGAGGATGCCAGGAACACAGATAAGCAAAGTCAACACAAGATAAACTCACATTTGCTCCCAGCAAGCTGCTCTCAGCTTGCATCTCTTTTAAACTCTCATTCCCAGGTGTGGCTAATGAAGGGAATCAGGGCCCTTTCCTTCCCCATAAGCCACCCAACCCATGTTGCTCCCTTCTCCATTCCTCCCTGCGTGCCCCAGGATGAACAGGGCTTGGGCCTGGGTCTTCCTCCGAACTCCCTCTCCCTTGTTCTACCTCTTCCCTGCTCTGCCCAGCCAGACTTTGCCCTCCCCCAGTTTCCTCCACAGCCAACGGGAGCCAAACTCCCGCTCCCTGTCAGCTGTTTGGCTTTCTCCTCAGATTCAGACTCCGGCAGGGGCATGACAGGTTGCCTGAATGGAGTCAATGATGATGAATAAACCCTGATTAGCCAAGCCTTGGTTCACGGGGTGAATTCTGTGGAGGCCTGCTCTCATTTCTCAAAGCGGTTCGAATTCTGGGCTTCCCAAGGACCCCACTGGGCTGTTTCCAGCCTGTGTCAACTGACCTACAAAGGGCTCTTCTTTTCTGTGTTACCTGAGGAAAAATTCAACATATTGTTTGAGTTGCAAACTAGATATCCTAAATCAATTACAAATGAGGGTGGCGGGTTTAATTTCTGTCCCTCCTTTATTTCATCCGTAAGTTACTCAATTTTCTGTTCTCTTTTTTTTTTTCCCAGATTTTTTTTGTCCCGGACTCTGAACTTGCAAAACATCTCAATTGATCTGAACTCTCGGTGAGTTTCTGAACATTGGTTTCTCTTGAGATGGTTGTTTGTCGGTCTATGTGCCCCATCCAAGGATCCAGCCTGCTTAGCTTCCGAGCCACATCCTGGTTTAGGCTTAGCCCAATTTAGAAGGATCATCTCTCCTAGGACGCCACTTGCAATTGTTTGACCAACGGTTTGGCTGAGATTGTTGTGTTTATTTAGCTGAATTACAGCCTCCTTCGTCCCTCCCCACTAGGCCTGCTGATTTGAAGTGCAGGGAGTTCAGCCAATCGGAGAACCCTAATCTGTCTCGGCTCCCAAAAGATCAATCCTCCTTTTGATGGCATTTTCATTATGTTCTCTGCTGCCTGCAGGTATTTTTGCTTGCAAACGTTTGACAGATCACCTTATGGTGTCCTTTTCTGCTCCCACGTTGGGAGCTGGGGGGAGCTGGCTTGTTTACTTAGGCTTCCCACCCGCCCTCTCAAGTCCAAAGAGCAAATCTTAAGGCTGCAGACAAAAGCCAGAGTCTCAAAGTTGACTAGCTGCTTTGAAAATGCAAATAGACGCTCCCTTGGAGATAGCGGGCATGTCAAAAGGTTGCTCCAGGCATCCAACCGACCTCTTTCCAAGGCAGGATCAGAAGAATCCAGCAAACCTTTTCACCTGCCTCTCGGCCCTGCCTGGTTTTTCTTTTTTTAAAAAAAACCCCACACACAATAATTTGGTTCGTTAGGTGTTCCCAAGAGCGCAGGAGATGTTGTAAGCCCCTGCGGCAGACTCCTCTCCGCCGCCTCTAAAGGACGATTTTTGATTTCGCTTGAAAAACAGCCCCAAAACAAGGAGCAAAAAAATAATAATATCTGGCTTGTTCATAATTCATGAAATCTCTATTTCAGTATTCAGATGTTAAAAATGGATGCAAATGTTCTTGTGAGGTGTGGAATCTCTGGGAGGCGGGGGTTGTGGGCAAAAATGAGCTGCCAAAAGTTTTGGAAATGCTGGATTTTATTCTGTTTGTGGCAGTGGCGGGATTCAAGAATTTTTACTACCGGTTCTGTGGGCGTGGCTTGGTGGGCGTGGCAGGGGAAGGATATACTGCAAAATCCCCCTTCCCTCCCCACCCCACTAACCTGCTTTCCAGCTCCGTTCTCCTGTGCAGGGCAACCAAAGGAGACCCAACTGGGACTTAATGGGAGGCAGAGAAGAGGTGGGGTTGGCGAGGCCAGTCAGAGGTGGGATTGGCCGGTTCTCTGAACCACTCAAAATTTATTCCGCTACCGGTTCTGAATGGGCGAGGAGTCCCGTCCTCCATCCTGCCCGCCCCGCCCCCCCGGTCACTGAATTCAGACTTCTCACTTTCTTCAAGCGCCCCATTTCTCAGAGGAGGAAAGAGCTGCCGAGAGCAAGCCAGGTGTGGAGGCCCATCACAGCCTGGACGGAGCAAGAGTCACCCTGGGCAGCTCCGTACGGAAGGAAAAACCTTCCTCCACAAGCTCTTGGAACCAGCCTGCCTGCCTTCCTTCCTTCCTTCCTTCCTGCCTTCCTTCCTTCCTTCCTTCCTTCCTTCCTTCCCTCTTTGTCTTTTTCTTTCCTTCCCGTTCTTCCACCTTCTTCCTTTCCTTATCTTCCTCCCTTCCTTCCCTCTTTCTCTCACTTTCCTTCCTTCTTCCTTTCTCTCACCTTCCCTCTTTCTTTTTTGTTCCTTCCACCTTCCTTTCCTTCTCATCTCCTAGGAGATTTCCTTCTTCCTCTCACTTTTTTTCCCTTCCTTCCTTCTCCCTTTCTCTCACCTTCCTCCCCTTTTCTATCTTTTTCCTTCCTTCCTTCCCTCCATCCATCTTCCTCTTACTTTCCTTCCCTCTTTTTTCTTCTTTCCCTTATCTCCCGCCTTCCTTCTTTCCTTTTCATCTCCTTCTGATGGATGGATGGATAGATGAATCCTAAAATATTCATAGGGTCTGTGATGACATCACTGAGAACTTGATCCAGGCCTCTGTGGAAGCTGCTCTGCCTTTGTCCACTTGCATTTTCATTGGGGAAATGTTTTTAATGCTGCTCTAATTCACCTTTGGCGTTTTAATTAGTGAGCCCAACCTCTTCGAGGTGTGTCATGAAAGGAAGCATCACACTAACCCTGTGAAGAGCCCACGGGATTAGCTCCCCGATTGTGTAACAACAGGGGTTTTGAAGCCAGGCTTACGGATTAAGCCATTGTTTATTCCAAGCCAAATGCTGACAGCGCCAACCCTAACATCAGCTCGGGAAAGGAGGGAAGAAAGTCACCGCTGGGCCAGCAGTCAAATATTTGCCGGCCTCATCGACTAACCTGGGAAAAACAAAATGCAACCGAATTAGTAATTTTAAAAGATAAAACAAGAAATACAAAAATACAAGGTTTGTTGAGGATGAGAAGTTGCTTCTGTGTTGCTATTAAGACAGAAAGAGCCCTCTGATCTTGGGGCCACCCTGAGGGCATCAAGATGGGGTGAGACCTGAAAGCTTTCAGACCCCAGCCCAGAGAAAGAAGGTGGGGGGGGGGCTTTCCTTAGGAACCGGCATTAACAGCGCAGTAGAAATCTGACACCCAAGGGGAGCCCCTCCCCCCCATTGCTGGGCAAAAGACAGGCCAGGTGAGCGCCTCTCACCTTTCGGGGTTCCCAAAGGAACCTCCAGGCGCAGCAGGACTCTACCCTTCCTGGCCACATGGACCAGGCCGTCCGCTTGAAGCCCCTGCCCGGGGCCCAGGCTCCATCGCGGGGCTCCCTGGTTTGGACACCGGTTAAGGTGCTTCCGGGGACGACCCTTCCTCCTCCTCCACCGGGAGCGCCAAAGGATCGCGGTGGGGCCGGGCCAGGGAGGCAATGGGGAGGGGGCGCCCCTGGCTGGACATCAGTGGGGAGGGGGGCTCCTGGCCGGAGAGGCAATGGGGAGGGGGCGCCCCTGGCTGGACATCAGTAGGAGGGGGGGCTCCTGGACGGACATCAGTGGGGAGGGGGCGCCCCTGGCCGGAGAGGCAATGGGGAGGGGGGGCGCGCGGAGAGTCAATGGGGAGGGGGGGCCCCTGGCCGGCGCGGGGGGGCCGGGGGCGGGCACTGGAGCCGCAGCGGGCGGGCGGTAGCAGCGGCGGCGGCGGCGGCGTCTCGGGAAGCGGCGGCGGCGGCGGCGGGGCTGGCTGGCTGGCTGGCCGGGGCCGCGCTCCTCCTCCTCCTCCTCCTCCTGCTGCCGCTGCCGCTATGGGGCCGGGGCGGTGACGGGGGGCGGCGGGGGCGATGCGCCCGCCCTGGCCATGGAGGAGCGCTGGCACCGCGGGCTGGCGGCGCTGCTGCTGCTGCTGCTGCTCTTCGGCGGGCTGGTGCTGCAGTACGTCTGTCCGGGCAGCCAGTGCCGGCTGGTGCTGCGGCGGCGGCCGCGCCCGCCCGTCCCCGGGGCCGCCGCCGCCGCCGCCGCTCTCCGGGCGGCTCCGGGGGACCCTTACGGGCCGGAGGACGGGAGCCCCGCGCGCTTCGTGCCGCGCCTGAACTTCTCGGCGGCCGAGCTGCTCCGCCGCGTGGACTTCCGCATCGCCGGCGACGACCTGATCGTCTTCCTGCACATCCAGAAGACCGGCGGCACCACCTTCGGCCGGCACCTGGTGCGCAACATCCAGCTGGAGCAGCCCTGCCAGTGCCGCGCCGGGCAGAAGAAGTGCACCTGCCTGCGGCCGGGCAAGCGCGAGACCTGGCTCTTCTCGCGCTTCTCCACCGGCTGGAGCTGCGGGCTGCACGCCGACTGGACCGAGCTGACCAACTGCGTGCCGGCCCTGCTGGACAGCAAGCGGGACGCGCGGCTCCGGCCCAGCCGGTAGGGAGGGAGACGCCCGCCGGGGAGGGGAGGGGTCCCGGAGAAGGAGAAGGGAGGGAGGGAGGGAAGGGCTGGGAAGGAGAGAGGAGGGGGTCCTCTGCGAGGGGAAGGAAGGAGAGGAGAGGGGGAGGGAAGGAAAAAGGAAGGGTGCAAAGGGGGGGTGTCAATAGGGCTATCCCACCCACCCCCACTCCGCCCCTAGATGGGGGTCCCCGCAGCCTCCTGCCCCGCGCCAGGCTCGAAGGAGCGACCCCCGCGGCTGCCTCTGCGGCCCGCTTCCCCTGCTTCAACTCCTCCGTCCCGTCTTGGGGGGGTGGGATCAATATTTGTACCCATGGTTTTCCTTGGGGGGCGGGGAGGGAGAGAAGCTAAGCCCTGCCTGGCCTTCCTGGGCTTCAGGACACAAACTCAGCCCCCAACTCAGAGGGGGCTTTCGGGGGTGGGGGAAACCCCCCCCCCAGCCTGGAGGGGGCTGGGGGGGGGGGTGGGGGCCCCACCGTTTTGCTTGGGAGCCGCTGGTGGGGGGGGGGGCTTTTCTCTCTCTTGGGAAGCCCACCCACCCGTTTCCCTCCCTGGGTAGAATCTAGTCTTCGAATTTTTCAGGGTGCTTCTCTGGAAAGTTTTTGGGTGGGTTTTCCATTGTTTTTGGCACCCTTCACCTCCGAGGTGGGGGGTCTTAACCGCAGCCACGTCCAGCGTTTGCAGCTGCTGCCTTTGGTTTTATCCAGCGAAAGTTCTTCTCCCTCTTTTGGCCCTGGACCACAGCAGGGAAACTGAGTTGATGCTGGTTAGTTAACAGGGCCCCGTCTGTCTCGCAAGGGCTTGACGTTGACAAGAGCCACTTTTAACCCTTTCAGATGGTTCTCCGGCCTGTCTTGGAAAGCCAAGATGGTCTGTGGATGCCTCTGCCTCATCTTAATTTCATGCCTGTTTTCTTAGGTTGGGGCACACCTGGCTGAAGAAGGCATCCTTGGGGCTGAACCTCGTTAAATTCCCTTTTTTAGCCAAATGCGCTCCAGTGGTTTGTCTTCCCACCCTTCCGGTGTCCTTTTAGCTTTTCTGATGTGCGGAAATGGATAGGTCGGATTTGTCTCGAACCACGATTTGGGCGGCAAGTAAATCATACTAATGACAACCATTTGAATCTCTGGCTGAGAGCAAACCTGGTCTTTCGGGAAGATGGGAAATGGAAAAAGGAGGTTGTAAGAGGAGCAAAGATGGGTAGAAGTGGATATCTGGAATGTAACAGAAGGTATCTGGTTGCATACTGGCCAGGTTGTGTGTCTTAGGAAGAATTTTGTGACAAATGGCCTGTGTTTAAGGCAGAGGTCTTCAACTTGGCACCTGAAGTCCACAAGCCTTAAAGTTGCCAAGTTTGGGGACCCCTGGTTTAAGGAATTAACCCAAGATGGAAGTGACTGTGTGCTGTGTCTTTGTTTATGATTGTATTATTTATGGAAAGCCTTGCAGAATTTATAAGCAAACAGACTAACCAACCACGCAAGATTTTTACACAAACACATACACACACACACATGACTTTTCACTTTCCCGACTTTAAAATTTTGGTTTATCTGCATTTCTGAGCATAATTTTTCTACAAAAAAAACCAACAGTGTTTCCATGCGTGATGAATGTCACCAAGGGTGACTAAGAGTGGTTCCTGTTCACTCTCACAACAATCTTGCAGGGTAGGCCGCGCTCAATTCTACAAGATAACACTAAGCCCCACTGTGATGTATTTACTTCAGGTGGTGTAGGCTGCCATTCTGGTTTATAAACTTTCATTTATGGCTTAGTGTGTTGTTGCGTGGACCCAGTCGTCAATAGCTTTGTTCAGCAAACTGGGATGAAATCAGGTTACAGCTTAGGAAAATGTGTGACCCCCAACCACTCTCTCACCCGACATCAGGTTGCTTCTAAGTAATGGTGTAATGCAGGGGTCCCCAAACTTGGCAACTTGAAGACTTGTGGACGTCAACTCCCAGAATTCTCCAGCTGGAGAATTCTGGGAGTTGAAGTCCGCAAGTCTTCAAGTTGCCAAGTTTGAAGACCTCTGGTGTAACGGAATGAAAAGGGGCTCATTTTTAATTTTGGTTTTGCTTGGAGCAGTTAAGCCTTGCTGGGAATGGATGCTTTCAAGTAGCCAATGTGTGATTCCCTGGGGGAAATAATAGAGCCGCCTCAAGCCTTCCTTTCCATGCGCAGACAATGTTGGTGGCTGCCGCGGTTAGAATATTGGAGAAGTGGCGCTGAGAATTTTGCTGGGTTATGGAAATTCATGGGGTGATTTTAAGCCAGTCACTGAAGGCCTGACCTACCTCACAGGGTTGTCGTGAGTATAAAACTGGTTGAGGGGAAATGCTGAACTTTGCTGGTTGCTCTGGGGTGGGAAAGACTGTAGGCAAACAGAAATTGTATTTATTTAAAGAATCCCCCTGGGATAGGGGATTCTCAGATTCAGAGGACTGTTGAACAGGCATATAATGGACTTACATTTGCACAACTGCATTAACTGACTTTATTTGCATCCCAGGATATGCATTTGTCAATTACTTCATTGTGCGCAGGACATAAGTTGCAAATTTCCTTTGAACTTTTGAAACATTGGATCGTTCTCTTCATTCAAGGGGTAGTAATTGAGTGCAGAGGGAGTTCACGGCATTGAAGTCTTCTTAGTAAATGTAAATAGACATTGGAATATAAAGGCATTAAAAAATGAACCTGGGAGGAGATATTTTAATTTGCAGGCTGCGTTTGATGTGGGGCTGGGGTTCAGGTTAGAGTTATTGATTTGTACTGATAAAAAGAGAAATATTTGTAGCTCAGGGTTGACATGAGGAGCCCTTCGGTGCTTTCTTAGCTGGGTCATTTTCTTGCAGATGTTTCATTACTGTCGTGAAACATCTGCAAGAAAACAGCCAAGCTCAATAGACCATCAAGGCCCCCTGATTGATTTGTAAATTATGGTTGATTCGGTGGAGCAACATGGCTTATACGTTGCCCATTTTTTTCAGAGGTTCTAGGCTGATCCGGTAGGAACCCAAGCCGTTGGGGCTTATTCTGCAAACCATGGCTTAATGTAAGGTGTGAACACCTCTCCCTCCTTGTTTATGACATCTGGGCTAAGCAGAAGCCGCTTTTCCAGCTGTGCCAAACCGTGTACATATGTTTCTACCTCTGGAGAGAGACGCGAGGAAAAAAATAGGACTTTAGTCGACCACCTTTCCTTTCTTGTATTATGATTTAATATAATAATTGCACAGCCACTTCGTAGCCAGGATGGCACCTTCCCTGAAACACTGTCTACTTGACAAGCAATTATTGTCATTGCAGATTGTGCACGCTAAAAAAGGAAACCTGGGTGTGAAACAGGCATTTACGCTCCCTCTCCTCCTCCTCCTCCTCCTTCTCACACCTGTTGGCTGCACTTTTCTCTGTTTCTCGCTGTTGTTGATTTTAACTGCCCGGTGGCTGGAGGGGAGACTTCAGCAAAGCTTTCTTCAGAGAATTCAGGCAAAGAAGGCAGGTTTTCGTCCTCCCGTTTTCTAGCTAGGAGTTCCACCGATGCTAACTGGGCACCCTTTGCTGCTTAGGGAGGAGAGAAAGGGAAAACCCAAAAGGACACATACAGACTGGGTGAAACCAGGCTCAATAGCAGGAACTGGGAGAGGGATCTTGGAGTCTTAGGGGACAACCAGCTAAATAGGAGCCAGCCGTGTGCAGCAGCAGCCAAAAAAGCCAACGTAATCCTGAGTTGCATTAACACAGAGGGATTCAATCGAGATCAAGGGAGGTTCTAATATCACTCTATCAAGCCTTAGTAAGGCCACACCTAGAGTACTGCATCCAGTTTTGATCACCACACTATAAAAAAAGATGTTGAGGCTCTAGAAAGAGTGCAGAGAAGAGCAACCAAGATAATGAGGGGACTGGAGGCTAAAACATAGGACGAACGGTTGCAGGAACTGGGCCTGGCCAGTCTTAGTGAAGAGAAGGACCAGGGGAGACAGGAGAGCATCTTCCAATATTTGAGGGGCTGCCCCAGAGAGGAGGAAGGGGGTCAAGCTATTTTCCAAAGCCCCCGAAGGCCAGACAAAGAACAATGGATGGAAACTGATCAATGAAGATTCAACCTAGAAAGGAGGAGAAATTTTCCGGGTTCACGTTCCACACTTTTTTCTTCCCCACAATCGTGATATCCGGGGTATTGTGTTCCAGAACTTTGTCAGTCTGTATTCGGAAGTCCCACAGTAGTTTTGCATGCTCATTTTCGACCATTTTTTCAGGCTTGTGATCTCACCAGTTCTTTGCTACAGGCAGATGGTTAGTTGTGACACAAGTTCCAGTGGACCATCTGAGAGACTGTGTTGTGACGTTGTTTGTAGACAATCTGAGCGATTGTCTTGCAACAGCTCAGTATGTGATCGATGGTTTATTATTATTATTATTATTATTTGGAAAAATATAAAGATCCAGCTTTGAACGGTCACTAAACGAACTATTGTAAGTTGGGAACTACCTGTGCGTCTGTAAAATGGTGCGTCTCTTGCTATCGGAATGACTCCCTTTCTTGTCGTTTGGGGTTGGCTGGTCATAAACGTAGATGAGCTGGGAAGATCTCTCCTTTTGTTGACTGACTGGAATTTTTTGCTGCCCTCAGCAAAAGGCCTCTCCATCTGCTTCGTCTGCTCATCCCTCTTTTCCACTTGAGTGAAGACAAGAATTGGAAAGGTGGCGATGGCTGGATTTTTTTTCTTTTCTTTAAAGAGCTTTTCCCTGCTGCATTGCAAATGTCCGTTTGGTGCATTCAAGATGGAATTAGCTACACTCGATGCACCAAGGTGTGAAACTGTGGGCCGGGATGAGAGGCTGTGTGAACCACAGCAAGAGTTGTAGCAAAGCTGGGTTAGTTCACGGTCTTGCAATAGCTACCGTGTTTCCCCGAAAATAAGACCCTGTCTTATGTATTTTTTTTTGGCACCAAAAAAGGCACCTGG